CCCTCCTCCCTCAGACCCACGGGTCCAGGCCCCCAGGCCCTCCTCCCTCAGACCCAGGGGTCCAGACCCCAGCCCCTCCTCCCTCAGACCCAGGGATCCAGGCCCCAGCCCCTCCTCCCTCAGACCCAGGGGTCCAGGCCCCAGCCCCCTCCTCCCTCACACCCAGGGGTCCAGGCTCACTCAATGGACTTGATCCACTCATCCTTCTCCTCCTGCGTAGGGGCTGAGATCCGGTATACCATATGGTTGCCCTCCACCACCCGGCCATCCGCCTCGGTTTTGCAGGCTTTGATGAGCTGCCCCTTGTTGTTGGGGATGTAAAGCTCAAAGCAGTTCTGGGGACGACAGGGGAAGGGTGAAGGTGAGAGCCAGCCCTGGGCAGAGGTGGCCTGCCCTGGCAGGAAGGTGTAGAGAGAGGGGTCTCACCGGTTTCCGGGGGTCGTCCACCTCTCGGATGCTCAGATTCTCCAGGGGGATGATTCCTCGGGGCTCCTTGTCCTGAAGAAGCAAGTTGGATAGAACTCAGACTTCCAAATCCTCACTCCACGCTGTCCAGGCTCCCAGCCCCTCCTCCCAGGACCCCAGAGCCCAGCCCAGGTCGCCCTCACCGTCGTGTACTCAAAGTAGTAGAGGCAGTTGTCTGTGAGGATAAACCAGCGCCGCTTCCACGTCTTCACCCGGCCCCCTGAAAGGGAAGGGGTGGGAGGGGGCCTGGGCTCAACGGAAGGGGACAGGGCCTCTGGGAGGTGGGAGGGGCGTAAGAAGCAAAGCAAAAGCAGGAGAGGCGGGGCTCCTGGGGCCTAGGACAAAGCCGCTGCGTTGGGGGGAGACAGACAATCAGGGACAGGTGTGTTGGGGCTCCAGGAATCGTCCACCCCCAGCTTGGGGCTCCACTTTTCTAGGTTTGTCAGCCCCCTCCTGCTGTGGGCCGGAGGCCAGGGCAGCCCCCTCCCCTGTCTAGTGATGGGGGACAAGGACAGATCGTGTACCTACCTCCTGGGGCAGACAGCGAGAAAGCAGGCAGGACCAGGTGCAGGAGAAGGGAAGGCGGGAGAGCGGAGCACCCCAAGAGCCGCAGGTGACAGAAACAGGGTAGGTGCGGGGCGGGATGTGCAGGGGGCAGGGCAGAAAGGTAAACACAGAGACAGAGAAACACGCAGAGGGAGGGGAGGGAGAGAGAGGGAAGAAAACCAGTTACATCCACATGAGGGGCGGATGACCGAGGCCCCTCCCTCCCAGAGAGGCCAAGGGCCCTGAGCCCCAGGTGGAGGCTTGGAAAACCCCTTGCATGGGCAGAGGGCCCCAGCCCACCCCCTAAGGTCTGTCCCAGGCCAGGAGGGTCCTCCCTTGACATGGTGAAAGTGCCTCTCCCCTGTAGGTGGGAGGAGGCAAAAGCCCCAGTCTTTGGTCAGAGGTGGATATGGGGGCCCATCTCAGCTCCTGCACAAACTGGCTGTGTGACCTCAGGACACTCTCTTGGCCTCTCTGGACTCCAGCCTGGAGACTCACTTGGGCCCACACCTTCCTGTGGCAAAAGGACCTGCTTTTGGCTTCCTCGTGGGCCCAGGGTTAAACAGTGAAAGTCATAATGGCTTTTATTAGCCAGGAAGGAGGAACTGCGGTCGCCCATCTCCACTCCTGCACTGCCACCTTTAAGGAAGGGACGCCCCTCTCTAACTGGCATAACGGGAACAGAGGCCCTCTGGCCAGAAATGTCCCTGGGGCTGGTGGGCAGCCTTAGATGGGGCCCAGAGCCAAAATGAGGAGTGAGCCTCAATTTCTTCATCTGGGAAATGGGAAAGGTTGCTGCTGACGGGAGTATTTTTTTTTTTTTTTTTTTTTTTGTTGAGACGGAGTTTCACTCTTGTTGCCCAAGCTGGAGTGCAATGGCATGAACTTGCATCACGGCAACCTCCATCTACCTCCCGGGTTCACGCAATTCTCCTGCCTCAGCCTCCCAAGTAGCTGGGACTACAGGTGCGCACCACCACGCTCGGCTAATTTTTGTATTTTTGTAGAGACAGGGTTTCACCATGTTGCCCAGGATGGTCTTCATCTCTTGACCTCCTGATCCGCCTGCCTTGGCCTCCCAAAGTGCTGGGATTAGAGGTGTAAGCCACTGTGACCGGCACAGGAGCAGTTTTGAGGGAAGCAGTTCCTTGTGAGGCTGGCGCCTTCCTGCTTCTCTTTCTAGCCTGCCCACTGCCAGGTCACTCAAGGACTCAATTTCCCCCAACACGGTCTGCCTCCCTTGGATCCAATACAGGGATGGGGACTGGGGTTGGCTGAACAGTGATTTGCATGTTGCATTTTTATTTGAGAGAGACAGGGTCTTCTGCCGCCCAGGCTGCGGTGCAGCGGCACAATCATGACTCACTGCAGCCTTGACCACTCGGGCTCAAACAATCCCCCTGCGCCACCACGCCCGGCTAATTTTTTTATTATTTTTGTAGAGATGGGGGTCTCATTATATTGCCCAGGTTGGTCTCAAAGTCCTGGCCTCTAGCAATCCTCCTGTCTTGGCCTCCCAAAGTGCTAAAATTACAGGAGTGGGCCCCTGCACCCAGCCTGACTTGCATATTTTACATTTACCAGGAAACCCTGGCATCTGCTGAGGTGGTGACGCCCTGGTTTAAGAGCACAGTTCAGGCCAGGTACAGTGGCTCACAGCTGTAATACTGGCACTTTGGGAGGCAGAGGTGGGCAGATCACGAGGTCAGGAGTTGGAGACCAGTGTGACAAACATGGTAAAACCCCATTTCTACTAAAAAAAAAAAATACAAAAATTAGCCCAGCATGGTGGTGCATGCCTGTAATCCCAGCTACTCAGGAGGCTGAGGCAGGAGAATCACTTGAACCTGGGAGGGAGAGGTTGCAGTGAGCAGAGATCGAGTCACTGCACTCCAGCCTGGGCGACAGAGCAAGACTCCATCCAAAAAAAAAAAAGCACAGTTCCACATGGGGAGGCCCCCAAGAGGCAGAGGCCAAAGCTGCCCTGTCCAGTCCTCCTTCCAAGAAGCCTGGCCTTGACCCCCTTCCCTGAGCTAGAAGCTTCCTCTGGGTTCTCCTGCTGTCCCAGGAAGCCTCCACTGTTGCACTGGGCTGTAGCTTCTCAGATCCGTCTCTCTGGAGCAGCTGTGCCCACTTCTGTTATAAACTACATCTAACTCGCAGGTGGCACCTGCTGTTACCAGGCGCCGCTCCAGGCCAGTGGCTCTCAACCTCACCTATACATTGGGAGCTCCTGGGGAGCTTTAACCATGACTGATGGCCCTCCTGCCTCTGAGAGCCTGACTTCAGAAGTCTGTGGCCTGGCCACCGGACTTTTCCAAGTGCCCAGGTGAATCTCACGCGCAGCCAGGGCTGTGAACAACTCCAATCCTCGTGCTAGCTCCTCACCACGCTACCATCCTGTCTGATCCACGCTAACCGACCGTGAATGTGCCAGTGCCACATGTTACGACGAAGACTCCCCTCTCCATCCCTGCTGGGCCTCCCGACTCATCTGCACCAGCCCTGGGTATTCCCTCCGAAGCCAGGAGCCAGAATCTGGGATAGATTTCCTCGCTTGTTGGGTTTTCTGCCTGTGGGTGGCTGGGACAGCCAGGGCTCTGGGCCTGATGCCTTGGAGTGCAGGGTCAGTCCTGCCTGGGATCCTGGGAATTCTTCAACTATTGCCAAGGGAATAACAGGTTCCAGAGGTGGGTCTCCCTCAGGCTGGGTTAACGCAGTAGAGAGAAGCCAGAGTGAACTCTCCCCCACAAAAGGACAGCATCACCTGCCTCTCACTGCCTCCTCAGCCCAGCTCAGGGCCTGGCACAGAAGGGCTCCATGAACATCTGTGGGTAAAGGGAAGGGGCTGGGAAGTACGTACTACAGGCCAGACCCAGTGCACAGGACTGATTTTATTTTCAGCCCCATTTTTTGGGTGTGGAAAACTGAGGTTCAGAGAGGTCGAATCATTTGCCCCAGCAGGTCAGTGTGGAAGCTGAGTCCAGGCCCAGGCCCACTAACTTCCCCCGAGGAAGGACCAGCAGTGTTGGGAGGGCACGTACCCAGCTTCAGGAGCCAGCCCTCCCGGTCCGGGTTGAAGAAGGTGTGGGTCAGGTCGTTCCCATCATCCTCAGGAATCTTGAAGGGCTCATTTCGGATGCTGTCGTAGAGGTTCTGAGGAGCAAGGGCTGTATCAGCCACTCCAGGCCCCTAGGACTCCCCAGGGTTACTCAGGGTTGGGGGAGCACCGAGACCCAGAGTGGGATGACTCATGGTGGGGAAGAGAGAGGGGTAGGCTGGGGAGGGGGCAAGTAGAAGGCAGAGAAGTGGAGGGAGGCTGAGGTGGGAGGGGAAAGAAGAGATGCCCAGGTGACAGGTGGAGAAGCCAGCTGCATCCTCAGAGAAATAAACAGATGGGGAATGAGGCCAACTGAGAGCCAGGAGGTGCGACAGCCATAGACAGAGAAAGACAGGCCAATAAAGTCAGGGCCAGTGCCTGAGACAGTCAAGAAGAGAAGCAACGAGACAGAGCAAGAACGAGAGAGAGAGAGAGAGAGAGACAGACAGGGAGGGAGGGGAAAGATCACGCACGAGCTGGCATAATCACGCCATCTGGGGGGTGAGGGCAGACACCAGTGACCCTGGGCAGACAGCTCAGGCACTAGGAGACCACAGGTGGGGTGGGGGTGTCTGTGGCAGGAAGAGGGACAGGACTGCGGGGCAGGGAATAGGGGCTGACCCTGAGCAGCTCCTCAGGCAGGTCCCCGCCCTCGTTGATGCCCCGGTTCATGGCCACAAAGCGCTCCAGGCCTGGCTTGTCGCGGACATTGGGGTTGTGGAGGCTGGTGTTAAGCATGATGACAGCGAAGGACAGCACGTAGCACGTGTCTGCATGGGACAGGGTAGGTGGTGACAACCCAGGCATGTCAGCCCCCCGCGCCCCCCTCCCCAGGACCCAGGATTCCCGTCTCCCAGCCCCCTCCCTCCCTCAGACCTAGAAGCCTGGCCCCGTCTCCTCTTTCTCTTTCCCAGGACCCAGGAGTCGGGGCCGCACCTGTGGACTGGAAAACCCCAGGGTTACACAGGCAGTATCGCTGGGCGAAGGCCTCCATCATCCGGTCAATTTTCTGGGCCTCTCCGGGGAGGCGAAAGCTCCATAGAAACTGCCTGGGTTGGGGAGGGGCCAGGATGAGTGCCAGGGCTAGCAGAAGCCCGTCCCCACTCTCGGTCCCTGTGTGAGAAACTGGTCCATGAGGAATCCCAAACTTCCGGCCTCAGCAGTTGGTTCAGGTATGGTCACATGATCCAATCTGACCAACAGACACTGGCCATGGGAGTGTTGTGGATTGCTACAGAAATAGCCTCTTTCTGCTAAGTTTGCTAGACAGGTCTGGGGTTGTTACCAGATAAGAGGGTCTGCAGAGAGCAATGCTGACACAGTGGTGAACACAAGAGACAGAGAAAGTTGGCTTTCTGCCACTATTTTGGCTCCTGGATATAGCTATGCCTGAAGGAGGCCATAACCCTGGACTCATGGTACAGGACACACTCAGTTCCCTAGTTTTTGTTTCTGTGTTTTTCTTTTTTTCTTTTTTTTTTTTTTTAAAGATGGGGTTTCACCATGATGGCCAGGCTGGTCTTGAATGCCTGACCTCAGGTGATCCACCCACCTCAGCCTCCCAAAGTGCTAGGATTACAGGCGTGAGCCACCGCGCCCAGCCTGTTTCTGTGTCTTTCTTGAGTAAGGTTTGTTGCTTGTAACTAGAAAAGCCGACAGGTACATTCCTGCCATGCCAAACCCCTCCCCTCACTCACCTGAGGGCCTGCACCAGATTGAGGTCGGTGAACTCATGCAGATCCACAAAAGCATGGAGTACTGCCAGGTTCAGCTCTTCCCTGGAAGGACGGGACAGAATCACATGCAGTTTGGAGAGGCCAGGGCAGGAGTATGCAGGAAGCAGGGCCCCAGGGAAGCTGTGCCCCCTCTTGAGCACCACAGCTGCCCTCTGCAGAGGGTGAAGCTTCCTGCTGGGCTCCCACACAGGCCTGGCCCTGGGGTGGGGGATGCTCAGAACACACTCTTGGGAGGAATACCTGCCTTGGGAACCCTGGTTAGGCCGTCCTTTGCACAGTTGGGAGAAATGCGGCAAGCACATATGCCACGGACCATCACCTCTCTCAAATGATACCCACACTCCCCAGATATCCAGACACAGTCCCCACAGCCCCCAGACATCCAGAGATGCTTCCCACACACCCCAGATCTCTATAAATCCCTGATTCCCAGATGTCCGCAGATGGCCTCCAATCATCTGACTCCAGTCCAGTCCCATGCACCCTAGGCTTCTAAATGATCCCCACAACTCCTAGGTGTGCACGAGGGCCCAATAGTGCCCACGGCTCCCAGCTGACCACACGGTGCCCATGCACAGCTGTGGTCCACCCATGGTTCTCACGCTCCCATGATACTTGAGAGATGTTCTCCACTGTTCAGATGTAAACGGATGCCTCTCCAGACACCCCCCTGCCAGGGAATTCCAGAAGGTCCCTGCATCCCCAGATGCTCTCAGTTGGCCGCAGGCTCCCCTAACCCCCGCGTCAGTCCATTCTGTCAGTCTGAAGGATGATCTGCCAGAGCGTCTCTGATGTCCCACCTGTGAGCTGCCAGTGTGAGGGCAGGAGCTGGGCACAGGGGGTGGGCGGGAGGGAGGGGCCCCACGAGCGCTGAGTGGTGGCCATACCTCTCCCCCAGGTAGTCCCCGATGGCGGTCTTGTTCAGCCCCTCGCCCTTATACAGGAAGCGGGCGATCTCCTCAGGTGTGTTCTGCAGAAGTTCGTTCTCCACCAAAAACTGGATGCCCTGGTGGTGGGGACAACAAGGTCTCAGTGCTGAGGGCCAGAAAGCCACTCCCCTCACCTCCCAGGGAACCTCAGCATCCATACCTACCCCCACCCTCAACAGACCAGGGCCAGCTTCATTTTCAGCCTTCTCACAGGTCCTTAAACCGACTCATAGCCTTTGCACCTCATGGCCCACCCTTTCTGCCTTTGCCTGGTTAACTGCAGCATCAACGACAGGGTCTGGCAAGGAACAGGTGCTCACCACATTTTCTTTCTTTTTTTTTTTGACAGTCTCACCCTATCTCCAGGCTAGAGTGCAACGGCGCCATTGCAGCTCACTGCAACTTCCGTTTTCCGGTTTCAAGCAATTCTCCTGCCTCAGGCTCCTGAGTAGCTGGGACTACAGGCACACACCACCACACCTGGCTAATTTTTTTGTATTTTCAGTAGAGATGAGGTTTCACCAGGCTAGTCAGGATGGTCTCAATCTCTTGACCTCGTGATCCACTTGCCCTGGCCTCCCAAAGTGCTGGGATTACAGGCGTGAGCCACCACGTCCAGCTTTTTTTTTTTTTTTTTTGAGACCTGGTCTCCCTCTGTTGCACAGGCTGAAGTGCAGTGGCGTGATCACAGCTTACTGCAGCTTCGAACTGCTGGGCTCAAGGGATCCTCTCACTTCAGCCTCCTGAGAAGCTAGAACTATAGGCATGAGCCAACACACCTGGATAATTTATTTATTTATATCTTTTCTAGAAATGAGTTATCACTCTGCTGCCCAGGCTGGTCTCAAATTCCTGCTTCAAGCAATCCTCCTGCCTCAGCATCTCGAAGCACTGCGATTACAGGCATAAGCCACTGAACCAGCCAATAAATGTTTGCTGAATGACTGAAAAGGGTTCCAGTTGCTTCAGGAAACAATAACGTGACAATCTGTTAGCAGATGCAGTCTCTCCAGGGCTGTGAACTCAGGACCCAGGCTAGACTGAGGCTTCTCTGAGTCTCTGTGCTATAAAGACCTCTCTGTTACTGCCATATCTCACTCTGAATTGTGCTACTGGTGTTTGGGGAGTGCAGGGCAGCATCTGATTTTTCTTTCAGTCTCCAGCATCATCCTAGACAGGATCAGGCTCTCCAGAGGCCTCGGAAAATGGGTGTTAAATGAGTATGTGAACAGGCTGGGCATGGTGGCTCACGCCTCTAATCCCAGCATTTTGAGAGGCTGAGGCAGGCGGATCATACGACTTCAGGAGTTTGAAACCAGCCTGGCCAACGTGATGAAACCCTGTCTCTACTAAAAATACAAAATTTAGCTGGGCATGGTGGCGGGAGCCTGTAAGCCCAGCTACTCGAGAGGCTGAGGCAGGAGGATTGCTTGAACCCAGGAGGCAGAGGTTGCAGTGAGCCAAGATCACATCACTGCACTCCAGCCTGGGTGAAAGAGCAAGATAATGTCAAAAAAAAAAAAAAAAAAAGTAAGTGAACAAAAGACTTTCCTGAACCTGGTGAACACCTATTCATCCTTCAAACCCGACCTGAATGTCTCCTCCTCAAGGAAGCCCTCCCTGACTCTACCAGCCTGCCTCCTCCCCCGGTCCACTACCCTGATACCTCCATCATGGCACCAGTCAGCCCTCGTTTGTGCATGTCACTTTGTCCACAGCCCCTACAAGACTCCAGCTCATCTTGGGACTAGAAGAAGTGCGCCCATACAAGTAGACAGTGCAAGACAACCCTCCCGCAGGGGACGCAACTAGGGAGTCAGGAGGGCTGGAACACTTTCTAGTGTTCAGAGAACAAATGGACAGCCAGTCTCTGAATCCAGGGATTAGGACCAAGTCTGTCCACCTAGAATAGACCTGGAGCCATCATGCTTCTGGAACCCGGAGGTGCCAGAAGTTCCTGCCTGGATGTCTGCCCAGCTGATCCCAGTCCTGTGGCCCCAGGCACCTTCTTAGGGTCCATGTTGAACTTCTTCCTGCCCATTGCCATCTTCCGGTTCCGCTGCAAGGTCTTACTGCAGGAGCAGAGAGCAGGGTAGGGGGCGGAAGGTCAACGCCTGGACATCCCTGGCCTCAGCCAACCCCACGCCCCCCAGGTCGTCCGCCCCAGCCCTCACCTGCCCTCATTGGCCTCCAGCCCCTCCACCTCGCTCATGGCTTCGCTGAGCTCCTCCCGCAGGCGCTGAATCTCCACCAGCAGCTCCTGCTTCCGCCGCCGGATGTTCTCCAGCTCCATCCGCTCCTCCGGAGTCAGGTCTGGGGGTTCTGGGGGTCAGGGTCAAGGTTTAAAAGTCAGTGCTGGGGGCCGTGAGCCAGAATTCCTGCAGTCTGGGGGCGGAGAGAGCTCGGAAAGGACACATAAGGGGCTTCCTATGTCTGGACCGAAGAACGGGCTGGGGGCCTGGATTCCAAACTCTCGAGTTCTGGGGGAGGAGTGGACTTGGGGCCCGGATTCCTGAGTCTGAGGGAGAAGGGGAATGGGTGCCTGAGCTCTTAGGTCTGAGGAAAGAAAGGGCTGGGAGCCGGAATTTCTAGGTCCATTACTTGGAAGGGGACTGAGGCCTTGGTTTTCTGACTCCATTCTTGGCGAAGTAGTAACTGAGGACTTGGGTGTCCGGACTCCTGGGTCCATGAAAAGTCACTACAGCCAGGAGAGCTGATGACAGCTCGAAAGAGTTGGGAAGGTGGGGCGGGACATCGACGGCCCCCGCCCCCCAAGATTTCTCCCCTCCCGGCAACCCGAGTGCCCCTCCCCGGCAGGCGCCGGGCTCGCCCGCCCCTCCAGCTGGAATGGTTCCGCCCCGGCCGCGCCTCCACCGCTCCATCCCGCCCCTCCCGCCGCCGCCGGAAACAGGCTCAGCCCAAACAATGGCCTGGAACACCCCGCTCTCGGGTCCAGCCGGAAGCCCGTCCAGCGCCCCACAAAAGCGGTGCGACGAGGCTACGACGGGACCCAACGTCTCTGGGTGGCGCGCACCAGGAGGAAACGTTCGCGGCGGAACGTTCAGGAGAAAACGCTCTAGCAGCTCCCATCCGACCCCGCCCCTCCCCGACCTACCATAGACGCCGTCCTCCATGGCGGCTAGGAAGGCCCGCGGGGAGTCCGGGGCAGTCCCGCCGGTCGGGCCTGGATCCGCGTTGGCCCGCGGGCTCTGGTGAGCCCGCTCAAACGCCCCGGGAGCCACCGCCGCCTCCTCAGCGCCAGTCCTCAGCGCTGAAAAGACTCTCCCTTCGTCTCCCAACCGCCCCTTCAGTAGGGACCGCCCCTCTTTTTGACACCCTCCAATCCACAGTGGGCGCTTTCGTCCTCCCCGCCCTCGACACCAAAGGATCGTCCTCCAGGTCCAAGAGTCGCACAAAAAGCTGATGTAGGTATGTCCGGCCGGAGGTAGACGGCCCGCGGGACCAATCGGATTGCAGGCAGGGCAGCAGGCCCCGCCTCTGAAACAACAGACAGCCTTTGACAGGCTTGCTCTCCAATGAGAAGCCTCGGAAAAGTGTTGCGTGGAGGCGGAGCTACGCGGAACAGACATGACGGCGCCTGCTCAAAGGCCTTGGACACTGGGAGACTAGGTCAACCGAACCCCGCCTCCAGTAATGCGTTACTAAGGGGTGGTACTTTGTTAGTCTTGTTGCCAGGGGGCGGGGCTACAACTGTGGCTTGTTTTTGTAAGCCACACCTCCTAGCAGTCCATGCTGGCTTCTGACCGCAGAGGTTGCCATGCAACGGGGAGCCGCTTTCGGCCTCTTTTGCATTTCTTCTCCGGGTACTTTCCTCTCCTCTCAGTACCTCCTAATCTTCAAACTCCTTACCATCATCTATGCCATCCCCATCCCCCTCAGCCTCTTCAGAGTCATGGGGTGGTGAAACGAAAGATTTATTCTCTTTTTTTTTTTTTTGGAATCCTGCTCTGTCACAGAGGCAGTGGCGCGATCTCGGCTCACTGCGACCTCTGCCTCCCGGGTTCAAGCGATTCTCCTGCCTCAGCCTCCCGAGCTGGGACTACAGGCACACAGCACCACGCCTGGCTAATTTTCGTTTTTTTTATAGAGACGGAGTTTCACCGTATGGGTCAGGCTGATCTTGAACTCCTGACCTTGTGATCCGCCCGCCTTGACCTCCCAAAGTGCTGGGATTACAGGTGTGAGCCACTGCGTCCGCCCAAGATTTACTTTTTCTAAATGCTATGCTATTTGGTGTCACGGAGAATAGAACAGGGGAAGGTGAAATTTAGTGAAAGCACAGGCTTGGCCTTCCTGGCGCCTTCTGCTGCTCAGACTCCTCCCTCATTCCCCCAAACTCCTCCTCTTAGCTTAGTATCATCCTCCTAATACTCCTCCCTTCCACAAGCATCCTCTCACCTCTCTGATTCCTTCTCCCATCTCAGAAGGCCTTTTCTTTCTCTCTGGCTTCCCTTACTTCACCGTCCCCCTCATCCTCTCATACCCTTGCCCCCCCCCTTTTTTTGGGGGGGTATGGAGTTTCACTCTTGTTGCCCAGGCTGGAGTTAAGTGGCACAATCTCGGCTTACTGCAACCTCAACCCGCCAGGTTCAAGGGATTCTCCTGCCTCAGCCTCCCAGGTTTGGAGGGGAGACCCAATAAGTGCCAAGGCAGGAGTCCGAAGCCTCAGCCTATTCCCATAGAAGTAAAGAAGAAGAAAATAACTAGAGATCTAACCACAGTAGTTATTCACAGGTGGTCTTAGTTATTCATAGGTGATCTTAGTTCTTTTACTAATGACTCTCAGGTCGCAAAGTGTGAACCTGGGGTGACATTGCGAAAGGAATGACCCTAAGGCAAGACACTAAGCTGTCTGTCACACCCGTGGAAGGGCTGCTGGAGGGTGCCTTGGCTCTGCAGCAGCACCAGCGCTGGGAAAGCGCCCGCTGTTTAGCAAGCTGCAGAAAGAAATGTCAGAGATGTCTCCTTCCCCCGGGGAGGTAGGAGAAAACTTCACTCCTCCAAGCTCTTGCGGTAGGCCTGGTGGCTGTCAGGTAGGCCCACAGACATCCAGGGACTTAACTGTCTCTTTGTGATGCTGTGCTTCAGTGGTCACGTCCCATGTCCACTCTCATGTTCTGTTTCTGCACCTGGTTCCTTTTTTCTTAGAAGAGATAATCAGTAAAGGTAATATAAATCTTTATGTCTTTGTTCTTTCTTGACAACTATGGAAAAGTGCTGACGCATTATGCTCCTTACCTCATCTCGGCTACTAGAAAGTCTTGGGTCCCCACCTATATGACACGTGATGTTCTTGACCCTGTCACTGACCACCAATGCCACGCCCTACCTACTCTGCCCCCAGCTTTATACTCAATAAAAGTCAGAGTGTGCGGACACTCGGGGTCACTGCTGGACTCCACTCCTTGGTTGGCAGTGGACCCCAGGGCCAAAACTCTCTTTTTTCTATCTCTGTGTCTTGTGTCTTTTATGTCTACAGTTTCTCCTCTCCACACCAGCAGAGGGGCTCAAAGGACCCTGTAGGGCTAGACCAAGTAGCTGGGATTACAGGCACCCACCACGATGCCTGGCTAATTGTTGTATTTTTAGTAGAGTCAGCGTTTTGCCGTGTTGGCCAGGCTGGTCTCGAACTCCTGAACTCAGGTGATCCACCAGCCTCAGCCTCCCAAAGTGCTGGGATTACAGGCATGAACCACCATGCCCAGCCACCCTTGCCCTTCTTAAACTCCTCCCTTCTCTGAGAATCCTTCCTCCTCTAAGGCCACTTCCCCTGCCCCAGCCTCTGGGTCCCATTACTTGGAATGGGGTCAAGGGCCTGGGTGAAATGGGGAAGCCAGGCACCCCGGTAAATAGGAAAGCCATCATGGAGGTTGAAGTGGTGCCTGGGCCTTGTCCTCATTTGCTGTCCCTGGGCTGGGCAGGTGGGGACGGATTCAGGGCCAGGACCTGGTTAAGCTGTCGGATTAGACATGGAGGCCCTTAATCCCCTCACTGACCTTTATGAGTGGCCCAGGCCCTGCCCTCCTCAGTGGAAAACCAGGCTGGGCTGCCCTGCTCCCACCCTCCTTCCAAACAAAGCCCCCTCCCTGCCCCTTCACTTCCAACTTAACATCCTTTCCCAACCCTGCGTTTCCATGGCCCCCGCCCCCGTCCCTTCCTACCCCAGACACCTGAGCTGAAAGGAAACCCAGCTAATTAATCCCGTCCGGTTATTAGGTGGGGATTCTGAAGGATAAAGGGAGATGGAGAAGCTGGAGGGGGCACCTGGGTTGATGCAGCACTCGTGAAGGCTGAGTGCCAGTGATGGTGGCTGCCCTCGGTTCAGAATACAGGCTGGGAACACATCCCCCTCCCTGTCCCTGGCTGCCTCTGCAGCTGGCTCCCAGCCTGTAGGGTACTTAGGTAGATGGCAACATGGGCAGGGGGCTAGGTCCCAGGACCCATGCTCGAGAAACACATTCGCAGACACACCCACTGGGGCTCCTAATTCTTTAATCTGGGGGCCAGGTCTCCCCGTAAAACACTCACTCCCCCATAGTGGGAAGAACCTTGGTGTCCAGAGCTACCTCCTCCTTCCCAGATCCCCAAGCTGGGCCAGGGAAGGGACTCTGGCTGTGAGCCACAGCCCACGCCTACCCTTGCCCTGTGAGTCAGACACCTGAGTTCAGAGCCAGCCTCCCCTTCCAGCCTAACCTCCCCGGGCCATAGGATCGAGCACTGGGGAGAGCAGGAAAATCCCCAGGACTCGAATCCCCATCCCACCCTTGGTGAGGTGAGGACTCATCCTGCTGGAAAGGCCCCTGAAGGACTTTACAGATGGGAAACTGACATGAAGCAGAGTCCGAAGGGACACAGTAGTTGGGGCGGCATTGGGATTTACAGCAAGGCTTCTTGGGCCCTTGAAAAGGACCTCATTCCAATTAGCGCTCCATTTTTAAGCCTGTTGTAGGGACCAGGGGAAAAAATAGATATCTGTATATATATTATATATATATATAAAATACACATATATGTATAACATCTTTAAGAAGTAGACACATGGCCAGGCATGGTGGCTCACGCCTGTAATCCCAGCACTTTGGGAGGCCGAGGCGGGTGAATCATCTGAGGTCAGGAGTTCAAGACCAACCTGGCCAACATGGTGAAACCCTGTCTCTACTAAAAATACAAAAATTAGCCGGGCACAGTGGCTCAGGTCTGTAATCCCAGCCACTTGGGAGGCTGAGGCAGGAGAATCGCTTGAAGCTGGGAGGCGGGGGTTGCAGTGAGCTGAGGTCACACCTCTGCACTCCAGCCTGGGCAACAGAGTGAGGCTCTGTCTCAAGAAAAGAAAAAAAGAAAGAAATAGACACATATCACTAGGTACAGGGTTCCAGAGCATTCTAGACTCACCAGCCCTGGGCCTCCCCCTTCCTTTGTCCACTGATCAGCCCTGTGCCCTCCAGGATCTGGCCTGAACCCTCACTCCTCGGTCAGCCCAGAAATGCTGCTTCTCAAGTCCTGAGTCCACTTCCTAGCACTTCCAAGCATTCCACCTGGAGGTGACGAGAACTTCCAGGCTTTGGTCATGGACAACTCTGGATCCCCAGAGCCTTACTTCCTTTTGGCATTACAGAACCACAAGACGTCATCTAGAATCATCGAGATTCTCAACTCCATTGGGCAAACTGGAACCAGGAAAATCTCAGACATCCGGAATGGCCCCTGCCTCCTCGACTCTGTGATCAGTCTAGACCCACAGAATCCTGATTCCCTTTAGAGATTCTAGAATGGCACTTTAAAAAAAATAACCCACCCTGTGGATCCTTTAGAAACATTGCTTATTCTCTTGGCTGGATGCTCTACAACCCAAAGATGGAGTCGTGTCATGTCAAGAACTCCTAATCTGTCACTTAGCCTTTCTGAACCCGTTTTTGTGCATTCTAGAAACATTACTCTTTAGTTTCTGGAGCAGTTCAACTCTCCAGGTCAAACCTGTCCTAGAATCGCCAGTGCTTGCTTCTGTGGTCAACCTAGACTCACAGAATCTCAACCAATGGGCTTTCTGGAACCACAGGTCTTTTCTTGACTTGCAGTCACCATTTTTTTTTTTTTTTTGTCTTTGGTCAACCAAGATGATCTTGAATGCCTAGGGCATTCCATAACCTTCCCTCCTAGATGGTTTTGCTGCTCGGTTGGCTGAGTTGAGAAGCAACACTCCCTTGAATCTTAGGTGAATCCAGACCTACAAACCCTTGATCTGTGATGCTGTCCAAGAACTATCAACTCGCTCCCCCAGAGGTGGTCTATACCACTGGTTTCTCACCCTGATAGCAATCCAGTTCCACCCATACAGAAGAATCTAGAACCACCAGTCTTTTCCTCTTGGGTGATCCAGAATTCCGGTGAGACTCAGGAATTGGGTTCATAAAGGGGTCTCAGGAGGGAGCACAGAAGCAGAGGAATTAAGGTCCAGGATGTCCATGGTGGGTCACCAGGCATAGCAGAACCTTACCACCTAGTCATGTACCCAGCAGACCTGTTGGTCTTCAAGAACACGTGCCCCCATCCCAGGAGAGAACCCTATCTCTCCATCTTGCTACCTCGGGGAAGGGGGCACACATGGGGAAGGGGACACCGGTTTGCATCACGGAGGCAGGGTCAACGCCAGGGTTGGTGTGAGAACTCGGGGGCTGGAAGCCCCGTCTTCTGTCTCCTCCCCGTTCCCTTCCTCAGCCTCATCGTCCTCATCTTCCTCCTGGCAGCAGCTCAGAGCAAGTTCATTTTCATAACAAAATGCAGTCAGAGAGCCAGGGAAGCTAGACTTGAGGCTGTGGGAAGCCTGCTCTGCCCGTTCATCCAGCTCCTTAGCACTGCAGACCGGCGTCCCTGGGACCTCATAAGTGCGATGGAAGTGGCGATAATCGACCTCATACTGGGAGCCACGCTGGAAGAGAACTGGCTCAAAACGATGGCCCCAGAGCAGTTCACCAGGGAGGTAGGATGAGCGACACTGTGTGGTCATGGCTGTGGCCTCAACCATCCCCTCGAGAATGACCACCAGCTCGAAGTCAGCCCTGGCCAGCTCAGCACGTCCTAGCTCATACAGAGGACTGGCCGAGTCGATCTCATGGACGATGGTGATGGGGGACACGAGGAAGATACGATCGGTGCCTCCATCAAAGCCCACGTCCACATCCTGGTGGTCCAGCGGGATGTACTCCCCCTCTGGGGTCACACGAGGCTGCAGCAGGAGGCAAAGAGCCAAAGAAAAGAGAGCAGGGAGCAGAGACAGGCAGAGATGGAGAGAGAGAGAAGAAGAGATGCAGAGAAAGAAGGCAAAGACCACAGGAGTGAAGGAAAGGGCGAGAACACGAATCCAGAGATGGGGCCGGCAACCCAGAGAGAGAGGAAGTCAGAGACACAGGTGAGGGCACAGAAACCCAGCGAGAGGGAGCCAGAGACCCAGGAGGGGAGGATGGAGGTCCAGAGAAAGCATGGAATGGGACAGACCCAGAGATAAAGGGAGAGGAAAGAGACTCAGGGTTTGGGAATAGAAAATGGGAAGAGGGGCGTGGCAGGGGAAGAGAAGGAGGAGAGAGGGGCAGAGTGATATTGGCATAGACACAGAAATCACCAAGACCGAGATGAAATCGAGGAGACAATGGAAAATAAGGATGACATCCAACAGAGAATTGGAGGAGAGGGAGAGAAAAATGGCTTTTAGTATGTGGCCAGAGAAAAACAAACCAGATGATAAGAAGGCGGAGTTAGGACGACCGAGGTCCAATGCTCTGCAGCCACCTCTGCCTCAGGCTTATCCCTGGGCCCTCCCCTGAGCTATCCTAGCTGCCAACCCAACTGCAAGCCCCTCCCTGGCATTGTACATGTGGACACGCTTTGGGGGGGTCTGGGTATGTTGCCCCTGCCTACCAGCTGGGTCCACAGCCACCTCTCAGGCCATGTCACTGCCCCACAGACTTCTGCAAGAGCCAGTGTCCCTCCTTGTCATGAATTCTGGCATCTCAAAGCGTCAAGGAGGAGACAGAAGTGGGAGGTGGGCACCTATCCTCCTCTTGTAACTGTCTCTGGGAGCCCCCAGTAAAGGAATCCTAGAGGTGGCTGGGAGTTGCAGCTCCCACCACCCCCAATCCTCTCCAAGTCAAGCCTCAGCCCAGAGTTCTAAAGTCACTTTACAGCCAGGCTCAATGGGTCACGCCTGTAATCACAGCACTTTAGGAGGCCACAGCAGTGGATCACCTGAGGTCAGGAGTTCAAGATCAGCCTGGCCAATGTGGCGAAACCCCGTCTCTCCTAATAACACAAAAATTAGCCAGGTCTGGTGGCAGGCATCTGTAATCCCAGCTATTCTGGAGGCTGAGGCTGGAGAATCACTTGAAACCAGGAGGCGGAGGTTGAAGTGAGCCAAGGTCATGCCACTGTACTCCAGCCTGGGTAACAGAGCAAAACTCCATCTCATAAAAAAATGAATAAAGTCACTTTACTTGGGCAAGGGCAGCTACTGGCCCAGAGTTTCTTGGGAACGGAGATGTTTGAGCAATTTGACCATAATTCTAGGACCCCTAAAGACCCTTCCTCAGGGCGCAGGAGGAAGCCACTACCCCAGGGGCCAGTGGGAGGTGCAGTTTTGTTTGGTTCCCAGTGGGAGCCAAACTCAGAGGGCTGGAGGCTGGTGGGACACAATGGGCCACTGACGCGTATTCTCCCACGGATGCCTCAGGACCCCATGCCTAGAAGCCTGGAGAGCTGTGCTCCACAGTGATGAGCTGCACCCATCCTGGGGCCTGCCTCTCCCGGGGGCCTCAAGTCACAGGCCCCGGTCTGTGCCACAGTGTCTGGTGGGAATTGTACACCTGAGCAATAGAACGGTCACTCACCTCCGCCCCCCGCAAAACTGCATCTCAGACCATCTTTGGGCAGGTCCCTTGACTCAGAAGCTTCTGGGAATTACAGCCCAGAGCCTCCACAGGCCAGGCGTGGCCCTCTCCGGTCTACACTCCCCACAGTCCCACAGGCGGCCCATCCTCAAGCCACAGGAAGCTCTATATGCCGCAAGTCCAGGCCTCCAGGAAGAGCTGGTCACAGACCTCTCTCTTGGGTTTACCTCCCCAGTTGCTCAGCAACCCCTCCGCTCTCCACAGGCCCCTGCCCCCAGAGGCTGCTGGGAGTTGTAGTTCATGACCCCTTCAGGACCGCACACCCCTCGCTCCCGGGCCTACATCTCCCACAACCCCCGAGGGCTCGCGGAAGGCTACGCTCCACCTCCCCTCCGCACCTGCAGCAGCTGGGCCCGCACGTGGGCCTCCACCAGGTGGCTGCGGCGCAGGTTGCCGACGCGCCACATGAGGCAGAGGCGGTGGTCGCGCAGCGCCACGACGGCGTTCTCGCTGAAGACCAGCGTCTCGTTGCGCTTCTTGGGTTTGGCCATCTTGGCCATGACGGCGCCCACGACGAAGGCGTCGAGCACGCAGCCGGCGATGCACTGCAGCACCACGGCGGCCACGGCGGCCGGGCACTCCTCGGTGACGCTGCGCACGCCGTAGCCGATGGACGTCTGCGTCTCCAGCGCGAAGAGGAAGGCGGCCAGGAAGCTGGCCACGTGCGAGAAGCAGGGCGCGGGCGGTGGCGGGGCGGCCAGGTCGCCGTGCAGCGAGGCGATGAGCCAGAAGGCCAGGCCAAAGAGCAGCCAGGAGGCGAGGAAGGAGCAGGAGAAGAGCAGGCACATCCAGCGCCAGCGCACGTCCACGCACGTGGTGAACAGGTCGCTCAGGTAGCGCGCGCCCTGGCCGCCCAGGTTCACGAAGCGCACGTTGCAGTGTCCGTCCTTCTTGACGAAGCGACCGCGGCGCCGGCCCACCGGTGACTGCACCGGCGCCGGCGCCCACCCGTTGCGGCACAGACCCGGTCCGGCCTCCTCTTCATCGCCAGCCCGGCTGTCTCCCGAATCCAGGACGCCGCTGAGGCGGCGTAGGGCCCTGGCCAGGCCCATTGGGCGGAGGGACCCCCTCCACTTGGCCTACTGGGGGGCGGGCGCCCCCAACCTGCTGGAACAAGAAACCGGCAAAAACGTGAGGGGCTCCAGGAATGAGTGAGCTCATCTGCCAGGCATGCTCTCCAGTGGGGCTTGGTGTCCTCATCTGTCAAATGAGTGGAACTATACTACTTTTTTTTTTTTGGAGATGGAGTCTCGCTCTGTCATCCAGGCTGGAGTGCAGTGGCGCGTTCTCGGTTCACTGCAACCTCCACCTCCCGGGTTCAAGCGATTCTCCTGCCTCAAGCTCCTGAGTAGCTGGGACCACGGGCACACATCACCACACCAAGCTAATTTTTCTGTTTTTAGTAGAGATGGGATTTCACCATGTTGCCCAGGCTGGTCTCGAATTCTTGATCTCAGGCAATCCACCCACCTTGGCCTCCTAAAGTGCTAGGATTACAGGCATGAGCCAACGGTATTTTATTTTTAATGAGACGGAGTCTGGCTCTGTTGCCCAGGCTGGAGTGCAATGGTGCAGTCTCGGCTCACTGCAACCTCCACCTCTTGAGTTTAAGTGATTCGCCTGCCTCAGCCTCCCAAGTAGCTGGGATGACAGGCGCGTGCCACCACACCCAGCTAATTTTTTGTATTTTTAGTAGAGACGGGTTTCACACGTGTTAACCAGGATGGTCTCAATCTCCTGACCTCGTGATCTGCCCGCCTCAGCCTTCCAAAGTGCTGGGATTACAGGTGTGAGCCACCACAGCCGGCTGCCACCTTCTTTTTAAAAATGTTTTATTAATTTAAATTTTGTTTTATAGAGACAGGGACCTTGCTGTATTTCCCAGGCTGGTCTCGAACTCCTGGCCTTAAACGATCTTCTCAGCCTCCAAAAGTGCTATCTCACCCGGCCCATACTCACCTTCCAAGTTGGAAGATGCAGGATAAACAGCAATAATACTATCAGTAGA